ACTACAATTAACCCTCTGTTGGGGAAAAAAACGAAATTACTTTCTGAACAGCCCAATATATTGAAAAGTGTTGGCCAATTAAAAAAATTAATCTAATATTTTAACACCAATATATGAGCTATTTTCATATAAATAAAAGTAAAAAATTACAATAAATAATTATAAAAAAAGGTTAATAAAAGTAATGAAAGCTACTTTATGCCCTGGCAAGTTTCAAAGTTACGTCCCGCTTCAATTCTTAGATGAAGTTTTTCTGAAAACCATTAAGCTTTTACTATGAGGTAGGTAAAACTGTTTCTTATTCCAGCTTTTCCATTCGGATTCCGCGTTGCAAAGGAATTACGACAGGACAGAATGTGAAGTGTTTATGAATGACACTCCGCCCTTTAAATATCCTTTTATGACTTTACTTAGATACATCGTTTATGTTACTGATACATCATGCAGTAAACATGATTTTTTTATGATATACTAACGATTGGTGAAGCATGCGTTACCGTTTCATGAAGCTTCTTTCTATGAATAACTGCCCCCTACCACCAAATGGATTCTCATTAACTGTCGAGAAGGGGGGGAATAGAAAGTAAGACTGAAATCGCTAACTTTTTGATAGTCTCACCACGAAGGACTGCAGAAAACATTTTATGTGCTATAATTTCTGTTCCCACATCCTAAATGTCTGATGTGAGAAAACTAAAATGGGACATCGCGATTTTGAAGTATACATACTTGCTTATTTCCCCCTCCTTTTCGTGCTTTCATGTCCACCTCTGTAATTGACACAGGAATCTCGTGACGGATAATCTATAAAAGCAAGTTCAAGCATTTTTAATTAATTGAATAATAACGATAATGCATTGAGGCTCAGAATTTTTGCAAGATCTTCTCGAGAAATCTAATATATATTTTATATTCTTCGTAACTGTTTTCCTCAAATGTTGAAATAATTTATTCAAAATGAAGAATATACACTTCTGGCCACCGTAGATGCAACACCCTGAAGGAAGCATGCAAATACCATGAAATTTATAACATGCAGTAGCGGAGGTCGCCACTTCAAAGCGCTATTTAAGGGTTGGAATTTTCGACGATTTCAAGTTCGGCAATTGTGTTTTTCTTTTGGTTTTTTTCAAAAAAAAAAAAAAAAAAACGATCAATTATGCCTTGTAGTAAACAGCGATCATCGTTTGATCAAGTAATCCGAGTTCGACAGAGGAAGGATAGTGGCCTACCGAGAGTGTAGATTATCTTTCAGAGAAATCGGTAGTCGTTTTGGAAGAAACCAAACAACTGTAATGCAGGTATGTGACCGTTGGATGCAGGAGGGTGTGACGGACTGTTCGATCGCATCCACCTCAGTGCACCACTTCACGTGATGACAGGAACATTGGGCACATGACAGTGCCGGATCTTAAATAATGAAAAGCCTTCATAAATGTATGTATATTTCTCGAACTGTGATATACAACGGTACATAGAGCCATCGAATTTTGAATGAAGTAATCCTACCGCGAGTGAATATTTGCAAGTGAAAGCCCAAATTTGAAATTTGTAATTTGTTTTTTTATCGATTTCCCATTTTGTAAAATTTTAACGAATTTTGATTAATAAACTCAAGGATTTCAAAGCGAGCAATGGCAACGTTGTACAGAAAGAACATTTTTATCTCCAATAGGCTGGACTCTATATCTGAAATTCTAAAGATATGCTCAATTTAAAACTGTTTCGCGATGTTGCTCCTGAACTGAATTTTATGGTTTAAGTGCGAAAAACGTGATATTTGATAAATAAAGGTAACACACAAAATGTTAAGAAACGTTCCTTTGGACATAATTTAAAATCTGAAACTCTTCAGATTATTTTTTATTTCCTTTGATCTATTTATATAGCTTAAAAAAATATCTGAGATAGTTTTAAAAATTATTCTAAAAATTTGAACGACTATGAAGGCAAAAATTTATGGCAGATTTGGTTTTGTTAAAAATCCAGATTTACATACATTACTTTAAACCCTGCTTGACATTAATAAATGATAAAGGAAAGAAAACTAAATACTAGCTAATAAATTAATAAAAGTACAAAAATATCATTTGTTAGGAGAAGAACACGTGATTGGTTCAATGTACAAAGTTACAAAGTATGGTGCGTACACATAAAACACATAAAAATAATCTAATGTGTACACCATACGATTTTCTTGCACGGTCTATTTAAATTATGCATATTTTTTCTTTTATTTTTATGCAAATCATTTTTAGCAGTACGAGTAACAGCAAACATGATAACATATTTACTAACGAAATTTAAGAGTATTAACGTGAAACATATTAACTAACGAAATTTATACGTATTAACGTGAGTGAAAACGAATATCCTGGTGTTAACACAAACCTAGCGAATGAATAACCGCAACTAGTCACAATTGAGCTCACGAAGTGGAAAACGCTCACTTTTAAGTTGATAAAAACTTCTGTGAGGTATTGAAATGTAGGAACAAAAAAGTATTTAATTTATGGATGTCCAGTACTGGTTCTACTCTTGTTTCTCTTATGCTAGAAATGTCAGCCATGCCATTTTTTGCGTGACATTACCTATGTTAGCTTGCGCCAGCAGACTGCTCTCCACACTTAATAACCAACCAAGTGACTTGTAAGTTTCTGTTGTTGTGAACATTTTCCAAACCATAGTGAGACATAATATCTGTAACTTACTTTACGGGCTATGACACTAAAAGACTTGTAAATTACTAAGCAAATTCGTGATTGAAAAACTGTCGTGATTATCTTGGTTTCCACCTAAAACATCGCGTCAAAAACGTCGCCGACAAAACGCGACAGAGAAAACAACGCAAGGTCAAAATGGCATTGTACAAAACTTCGTGGGAGAAAAGAATCCAAGGAGAAAATAACGCATTTCTAAATCATTGCAATGTAAAACACCGTCATCGAAAATAAAAGTGATTCAAAGACATAGCAGTTTTAAAACATCGTCGTAGAAACTATGGAGGTAAAAAATAAAGCACCTACATTGCATAACCATAACATCGCAGACATATTCAAGCTTTAAAATTTGGGAATGGGACAATTCGCCGTGGGGCTAGTGACCCGGGCTAATGATCTGTGCTAGTGACCCTGGCTAATGAGTTTTACCTCCATATTTCATACTTTTTACTAAACGTTTTTTGAGAAAAGCAAAAAGGAAATTTAGAAATTCAAAAAAATATTAGTAGAAAACTAATGCTGCGGATAAGAGTTAATAAAGTTTTAAATTTAAATATATATAACTATCAATTGTCATTATTTTATTAATATTTCATATAAAATTTATAGTTTTTAGGATAGCACTGATAGTTTTTAGTTGCACTGGTAGTTAGTGATACAGTAATTAATCTCTTTTTAAAGCTGTATTGCATTGGTCGACTTACGGAGATAGTCTCAAATGATTCACAAGAATTATATATTATTTCTCAAAAAAATCTGTATTTAAATTTTCTGTTTATAATTTTAAACTTAAATCTTCTTAAATCTTCCCAATGACTGATGTAAAAGCAAAATAGTTTCCTATAATAATCTTCTGATGAAATGGCACGAATCTTCGAGAGGTAGCGTCGCTGAACACTAATAGTTTGACCAGGCGATCGAGCTGAATGGCCAAAATTTTTGTGGTTTTCCTAATGTATAATATGGACATGAGCCAGTTTCTGAGAATATTAAGGTTTTTTGCATAATTCAATAAATCCAAATCCTATACTGAAATATTATGTAGGTACTCAGTAAGATAGTTTGTCATAACAAAAGAATCAATATTCAAACGATTAGCTACAAGCTATAGATACAAATGGGCTAATGAAACTTCACGAATACCAATAAATTGAAACAAAATAAGACTTCATTTTTACTAAAAAAGAATGCGAGATTAACAAAGGTGAAACAAATAATTTTACAACTTTATTTAAATAAGCAATTTTAATATAGACAACTTCAGGCAACTACTCATCTTTCTATTTCTAATCTTTTTTTTTTTTTTTTTTTTTTTTTTATATATATATTATATATAATTTTTTTTCACGAAAAATACAACTTAATAAAGATATTTATTACATGATTACTTTCAGTAGTACTTTAATACTGTATATAAATCTAAAATTCTATTAACTGCCAAACTGCCAACGTTCTATTCATTTTCAATCTTTGAACGCTTGTTGTTGTTTAAAGAAGCTTATAAGTTAATTCCAAAACATGAATATAAAAGCAGAAATGCTCCTCACACTTTTCTTTACTCACAAAACATAAGGCGAATATTCATTTACAAATTTTAATATCTGACATACATTTTGTACGACGACATTTTCGCCTTGCGTTGTTTTCTCTACGATATTCTCGAGCGCGATATTTTTTTCGCGATGTTTTTTCCTGCAACCTTTGCTTTAGTTTAAAGGCTTCATAGAAAGAGTATGTTCATATATTTTTCATTTATTTCGTTTTCTATGTACCATACAAGAATAGTTTTGTAGTGCATTTTTCTTTCAAAACAACCTTTAAAATAATGAAGGAAACAATATTAATAAATCTAATAAGCATTAATAATTAATATCTGTATGCTCCATAAATAATTAGGAAATTAAATTTTTCATCTTATTTAGAATTTGCATCTTTACATGAAAAAGATTAATTTAACATTAATAATTTACATTTTACCTCTTTGTACTGCTAAAATATTTTTCTATTTCGATTGCTTTTAAATTAGCTACAAAGTTCTTGGTATTATAATGAAAATGGAATTTCATTCTATTGGCTAAGAATGTACTCTCAAACACATGTCGAAATAATACTGTATATAATGTATAAATTTTTGTTGAAACAATATTGTACATGTTATAAGCAATATTGTAATACATATGTTGAAATAATGTTATACATATTATATAACATATCGTTGAAATTATATTGTACATATAAAGGAAAACGTAAACAAGTCTTTAATTATATTTATAATTTTAGAAAACACTAGGAACTAGTCCTGAGAGTTTTCATGTAATTGGACACAGCTTAGGCGCACACATAGCAGGTTATGCTGGAGAGCGACTGCACAAATTAGGAAGAATTACAGGTTAGTAATCTCTTCCTTTCCACTTCCCTTTAAACAACTCACTATTATTACAATTATTTCAGAGGTGAATGAAAAGGTGCGATTCAAGATTTCGAATCGAGATCACTATGTAATAAATGGGATAGGTAAAGGTAGAAATAGCCGAGACAGCAGTTTCATCATTGGTCGTAAAGGTATAGTCCCAATGCACTAATTAGGCAGCTCCGACCCAAGACTCCGGGTGATGAATCTGAGAGTTTCCCCTTCTCTTCCCCAACAACCAAACCACTCGAGATTACTTTGGGCTCGGAAGAATTTTAAGCGCCCCTATGCTACAATTGCTAGCAGTCTCGGCCACTTGCAAACCTCCATGTCTTTTACGGGATTCAAACCTCGTCCCAACGATATGGCAGCAAGCATCTCTAATCACTGTACCAATAAAGGTTCGGTGATTAGAGATGCTTGCTGTACCAATAAAGGCATTCAAGAATGTTTGGAGAACCCCTGCTCTGTGGAATTTACAGTAAAGGTAATTGAGTTTATATTAGTGCAGGTTTGAACAGCGCTGCTGCATTTACACGCAAATTTATATCAGAAAGAATATTGGAAATATTTTTGCAGATTTGAGTAGTTAGATTAAATTATAGAAAATCTGCCCATGAGCCCAGCACTTCTAATTTTAGAAATTAAGCCTTGCGGAAACAATAGTAATTACACGAATTATTTCCTCACTGGTCATAGGCTCTTCCCTTTATACCTCTGCCGCTTTCGCTTGAGAGAGGTGGCAACTGGGAATGTTGGGAGGAGGGCCATTCAGACTACTTTGTGTTCTCCTGCCCATACATAGCACTTAACAGACTCAAGCAAACAGAAGCCAGATACTGGTCAGATCGGTTACAGAATCTACAAAGCAACAGAATTGCCCAGCGGAAACTGAAAACAATTATTGACTACTGTTTTAGCATTTACTCTTCTGACGCTTGAAGATAGTAGCCATAAAGTACAAACTTGTGTCGTACCTGACAGACATTAGGTTCTAACAACGCCATTTCTAAGTATAGGTTTCTCAGAATTAGTCATCGCACTATCATTATGGCATTAACTCTTCAAGTGGGGTGACTTCGTGGTTTTCAAATGTAAAGTGAGTGCGGCAATTTTCACTTAAATGGTTGCCTCAGTTGTTTCACTCAATTACAAGCGCATCCACAACATGTAGTTTTGTTTCCACTTACATAACACCAGGACTTACTGCTCAGGCAGTCCTGGCTGGGGCCCACCAGCAGCCGAGCGGTAAAGTCGCTGAACACTAGTAGTTCGGTCCGAGGTTCGAATCCCGTGAACAGACTGGCTGCATGGGCGTTTTCGTGGTTTCCTTCGTGTGTAACGTGTATACGAGTCAGTTTCCTTTAGAAAGTCCTCCACGAAGGCATCCCTCCCCTTAGGCAGATAGCCCTAGTGTGCTTTGCCATAATTAAATAAACCAAACCAGGCAGTCCTGGCTGACTTATATATTCTACTAGCTCTTGGAAAACATATTATCCTAGGTGGAGACCTAAATGCACGACACCGCTCGTGGAACTGCTATAATTCAAATTACAGTATACCAAACCAGGCAGTCCTGGCTGACTTATATATTCTATTATCTATTGGAAAACATATTATCCTAGGTGGAGACCTAAATGCATGACACCGCTCGTGGAACTGCTGTAATTCAAATTACAATATGCCAAACCAGGCAGTCCTGGCTGACTTATATATTCTACTATCTCTTGGAAAACATATTATCCTAGGTGGAGACCTAAATGCACGACACCGTTCGTGGATCTGCTGTAATTCAAATGACAATGTACCTGTATTTTTCAATTTAGCCAATACGGCAGGATTACGCATAGCAGGTCCTTTTGGTCTAACTCAAAAGGTAATGACTAACTTGAAATTAAATGAACTTAAATTTAGCCTAGCGGCCTCACAACTTAATTACCGCGCGGGCTGTCTCTGATTCGTAAACGTAGACATAAACAAGCCTAATGCCAAGAATAGCTCAACACCACAGAAGTTTAATCGCTAGGAAATCGAAGATAGCAATGTGTCCTCCAGTCAAAATGTGTTCTTAATTCCCTTCTAAAAGCTTCCCTTAAATGCTAACTTCTTTCTACCTCATTTGAATACACACGAGCTAGATCGTTTACATTCTGGCAAGGAAGTATGAGTTGAAAGCAAGAGTGATAGAAAAGGTTGATTAAAAATAAATTAACTGTTAAGTAAATTAAATAGATTCCCACAACCGTTTATCGCTGAATGAAATGGATAGTCGACATCAATACCTTGGTCAAATACTTATGAAGTTATTCGCCCATTATAAAGGGTTCCTTTCATCACCTCTCTGGCGAAATTTCAACGTGAAATTCTGATGCTATGTCATCTGAATAAGTTTAATATAACAAACTAAATATAGCACATTTGACTAAATACATTTTAGCTTTAGTATTAGTTTTCTAAAATCTTTCAGCTTTAACAGCATGAATAAATATTTATGTTTGCGTTAGTAAATGAAGCTCTAAAGGGATAAAATAATTATATAAAAATTTGAAATAATTATTTTTCGTTTTTTTTTCTGAAATTGAGGCATAGTTACAAAATTCTGTCCTTTAGAATAAAATCTTTTGCGGCGGTCTTCGACCCCATTGTACATAACATAGCCAAAACTCCCTTCGTATGGACAAAGGCTTAATAGAGATAAATCAAATCAGAAAATCAAATCCAAGTAACTAGTGGTTATTATTCTGATTAATTTTGGCAATTTTCATTTAGGACTCGATCCGGCTGGACCTTTCTTTCGCAATGTTCCGGACAAGGTGCGGTTAGATCCAAGTGATGCTGTTTTTGTTGACGTCATCCACTCCGATCCGGGAGTGTCTGTCTTTCAAGGTAAGATATAAACATTATTAAAGAAAAGCAGAAATGGCGGATTAAAGTAATTTGTTCACAACTTATTATTTGTTGCCAAAAATCTTTTGTGCTTAAATGTTATTTCATAATGATAATAAACAGTATAATGTAATCGCTTACTTTGAATAAATTAAGTTAAATCTAATATCTATATATATATGTAAGAAAAATAATATGAAAACGATTAAATTAACAGCGTAGATTAATTTCCCTTCTCTATTCTAAAAATAGCAACATCTATTTGCACTGCGTCATTTCGAGAAAAATCTATGTCATATGACTCTTACATAATTCTGGTGATGCAAATTGAACTAAAACTCAACCAGCCAATGGGAATTTTACAGCAATATTAACTGTCCAATCAAAATGCTTTGAAAACCAAAATTAACTCAGTCTGACTTGAGATTTCATCCTGATCATTACGCACTTGCTCTCCAGGCTTTGGCCTAGCTAAACTGCTGTCTGTCTGCTGCTGCTTTCTTGCTACAAAGTTACAATAAATGCAAGCCTTTTGGAATAGTCACATTTAATCTGCCGACTTCTGTGTAGCCGCAACAAGTTGCAGAACATGAAACTGAAGATTTAATCTGCATTCGCCCGCAATTTCCTGGTCATTGCTTCCTGCTCCTGAATATATTACATATATATAATCTGTAATCTTATACTGAAAATATTTAAAAAAATAATTACGTATATTCTTCTATATTTGTCTGACTACCTGTAAAGGAACTGTTGATGAGCTTCTAAAAAGACAAAGCAAAATTCCAAGTTACTACTGAACTACCTTAAATAGGACAATCTCTGATTACTATATTTGAATATGAATCCCAATTTAAATAATCGCAAGTGGCGGCGGTTAGTTATACGCACAAATGGTATTTCCTGTTTCATCTAAAATTCAGTAAAAAGTTTATTTTGCTTTACAATCAGATTTTCCAATGTTTCGTAAACATTTAACGTTAACTTAATGCAAATTCGTAAACTTACAGGACAATGCCTTGCGTGAAACTAATAATCTAATCTCTGCGTTGGGCATTGATTAATTCCCCTTGATTGCCTTTAAAACTATATACATCATGCTTCAAAAATAAGGGTACCAACTTTAAGAGAAGGCAGAAATAGAGTGCTTTTATATAGAATGTATGGTTTAAAATAAAAGATAAAGGCCTCAAAAGACGCTTCTCGTAAGACAGCGGCAGTTCCGACAGCATGAAAGCTCCATTCTTCTCACACATTCACATGTAATAGTGTATTTAAGATTCAGTGCACATGTGTAGATAAGTATGAATAGACAACACGTCCAGATTCACATGTTACTGTATCTTACATTTTGTTATTCTGTTTCATATCCGACTCTGTTTATTTTTCTAGGATTTGGCACACATGAAGACGATGGAGATCTTGATTTCTATCCTGGCGGTGGAGATCCTCCTGGGTGTGAAAAGACAATAATACGGTCTTTCAAAGAAGATATCCCAACTGAAGGTTCGCAGTTTAATGCTTTTAATTGATGTGCACAAAGTGGTTATTTAAAAGCAACTCTGAAGCTACTCAAGAATAATTAATTTATTAAAAATAGACAAGGGCAAAATTACTTCCTCTCTGAAATATTTATATATAGTCTTATCATGAAGTGATGACAGCTGAAAAGCACTTAAAGGATTGTTATTTAAAATCTTCATCACAGCTGTTTCGATGGCGGATACATCATATAACCTATTTCAAATAAAACAATTGATTTTAGGAACAAGTCATAACATACAGCTAAGCAATCACATACAGCTAACATACAGCAACCTAATTTGAAAAACATTCTTGCTTTTCAAATAATTACATAACATTTAATTTTAATTATATAAAAAACATTCTTATGTTTTTGTGTAATTAGGTTGTGATAGGAAATCCCTTTTATTCAAGCTAAGAAATACATTCCATTTTTATCCATATCTTTCCGAATAATAATAACCCTCTCATGAAAGAGATCACTCTGAAAAATCAGCTGCAGTCTTCTTGATAGTCTGGTTTCACGATGATGACTGTAAAAAAAAGAGACCTATAAATGCAACATGTTAACCACCTACTTGATAGCAGAATTGAACACATTATTTATAATATAATTATAATTATTAAAAATATAGAAAGTATAATGTTATTCTTATATTTAAGAGAATTTAAAAAAATAGAAAAGATCTTTTTTAAATATCTTTCATAAATACATAATCAATTCTCGTAGCCTAACGCATAAGTTATCAGTTTACTATATGGGGAATTGCAACTTCGAATCCCTTGCTGCTTCACCTTACACTAATGTGCTTTTGGTATCTTGAAAAGTGTTTTTTCTGAGCACAAAACCACCACTATTGATGGACTCAGTAAAGCATCGGAAGAGAAATGGAAATCATAACCGTTGGAAAGTTTATGAAAAGCAATTCTATGACGGAAATCACTATGCAGACTTATAATCCAGAAAAAAAGGATATTAGATCGAGCATTTAAAAAAGTACTGTGTAGATTTTTAGACATTAATAATTGTTCTAAAACTGTACACCGTCTATATTTTCTTTTAATGTTAATTAGAATAATCGCTCAGTACAGAATTTCATTTAGCACCAACATATTTTCTCATGCGAGCATCAATAATCTGTTTCGGAATAGTCCTGATATAGTTCCCTATCAAATTGCAATTATCCATGGCTGATAAGTTTCAATGCAGATAAACCGGGATGAAACTGATGCACTTCTCTACTTAGCCGTTTCTGAGAATTCCTTTCACATTACTAATAACAGCAGAATTCCTTCTGAAAATCAGAGAAAACTTCCAAAATATTAAGTTAACACTTAATTTAGTTCAGTGTCCGCCTTTTGTCCCTAAAGCAAATAATTATGCCATCTTGACTCAGGAAGGAAAGGTAGTTAACACTAAATAAACCACTTGAACAAGTTCAAGGAATGTAGAAATTTGCAGCCAGCGTCTGCTTCGCCTACGCAGCTATCGATGAAAGATGCTTAACGAAACGAGGCTTTTGGGGGTCCAGCATTCGATCCGGTTACGGCCCATTGGTCCTTCGACCACCAAATCAAGGCCATCTTGATGGAAGGCGAAGGCCTTGCCCAAATGGCCTTCACCTTCTATACTGTTGCGGCCTTTGCTTGTCCTTCTCTATTGTCACTTTTCCGTTGAAACGGGAATTTCCTCTGGCATCGGCCAGGTATATGGGGTCCGTTCGGCTGTTCGGACCCTGCTTTCAACTGTCAACAACTGTTCCCGTCCATCACTGCATGGGTTTTTAGTTGACTGTCCATTCTGTACTCCTCTCTTCTCCTACCGGAGTGTTTAGTTATTGTTGTCTCACAGTAAGGAAAATTTTTCTTTACTCTAAAAGGCAAACCACTTCTTCTAGAAGGTTTCGAATTTTTTACATAGAAGGTATTTTAGCTAATATTTTGAACTTCTAAAAAATGGAAGTCAGATGAAAGAGCTTTAGTCCAACATTCTAGAATATTCTGTGCCCTTTTATTCTTTGATATGTTCAGGGAAAATAGTACTTTAGGTTTAAATTTGATTATTTAAATTCCAAACAGTTAACATTATTATTATTTGCTTTACATATTTACATAAATGGTAAGACCGCTCAAAATTGTCAGTTCTAAATGGATAGGATTTTGCAAATGGATTGTCTGTAAGAGCATTCGAGGTTTTTCCAATGTAATAAAAATACGATCCACTGTCCCATTGAAAATTATCCACAATGCACTCTCTTGTTAAACAGTAAAACCTAATGAGCTATCTTGAATTAAAATAAATACTAAAGAAAAATAATAATACAAATTCTTTTATGGGATGTGACAGTAAAATAATATTAATAAATAATAAAATAGATTCATTTAATAATTTTATTGGTGCGAATTCTTAGAATAAAATATTAAATGTATAACAATTAACTTGAAAGCGTATTTGACGGCTAAATGTTGTCTAATTATTACCCTGACTACAATAAATTTACACAAATGAAAATTTAAAATTCAACTGATTTCATTTGCGCAATCCTGGTGGATTATATCTAAACCGAAAATTTGCAAAGCAAATTGTCGATTACTTATCGACCTTAACTTTCTGAAACTTATCTAACTCTTTAGAAGGAAATTTATAATTATCAAAATCAAATTCTGTAGAACAAGACATTTCTCTACAGGGTGTTTCTGAATTCTACCGACGAATTAAGAAGGGTGATAGTAGGCATTAAAAGGTTTAAACATTGTCATAGAACATTAGGTCGCAGACCAGGTTTAGTGCGAGAAAATTGCAAAAATAGTTATAAAGGGTGTGATGTCGAATAAAACAAAGGAGGCAATAATAAGTAGAAAAACATTTATTCGAAATGAAGTAGGATTACAATGCATCACAGTTTAAAGTTAGAAAGAAGAAGACGAGAAGTTGTGTCCGTGAAGGACAGAGGACAGACGACACTGATGGACGAAAGATTGCCAAACATGTTCAAACATACCCGTTGTGCTGGCGATGTCTTTTGAAACGGCGACGATCCGTGCTGTCTGATCCTTCAGTGTATCCACAGGTGTCTGATATAAAAGGTCACTACTCGACCGTTAGTGCTTCTAATCCTTGCATTCGTTAGGTCACTCTCTTCATCTGGCTCACTGTCCTCTTGACGTCTTGCGATTTTCACCCTCTAAATGTGGGTCGCCAGACATTCTATGGTAATTTTTCGCTATGAATTTGTCTGTCGAATTTGGAAACACCCTGCAGAAGAGTCGCTTATCAGGATCAGACAGCAGTTAAAATCGAAGTATCCTCAAACGAGTGCCAATAGTTTGAAACAGAATCAGCTCTAATACTTACAAACAGCAAATCAGCTAGTTGCTCAACAATATATAAACTGCAGTTAATTCTAACTAAATTTTAAATTCTCTTACCCTTGCTTGCACTAACGTCTGAGCTAGACGATCAGATTAAATATATAAGAATCAGATTAAAGATAGAACACTCTTAATATTAAGTCTGGTTAATATTAACTGTGCAAGTTAAAACAAATGGTGCAACTACATGGTTTTGGTCTAAATGAAGTATAAAATTATTTCTTTTTTTAACAGCACTTGGCAACCTGATTGCTTGCCAGCACTTTCGAGCTTTCGATTTCTTCATATACTCCTTCAACCAAAATGGATGTTTATTCGTTGGAGTTGAATGTCCCTCCTGGGCAGAATTCCTGAAAGGTCAGTGCGACTGTGGTCCTCATGGAGAAAAATGTGCTATCATGGGTATTTTTGCTCCCACATACACATTTCTAGATGGAAAGCATTACAGTGACAGGAGATTCTACTTGAAGGTTGGTCCTGAAAGGCCGTTCTGTGGTTAGTAATGGTAACCTTTCTTTAAATCTACCTCTTTAGAAGGAAATTTATAAAAAACAAAAACATTTTTATTGTTAAAGGAAAGAATTTTTAGGAAACATTATTATGATTGTTTTTTTACTTGCTCAATCAAATGAAATCTGTGAAAAATCAAAGTGCTGCTAGAGCAATTTTCTTATATAACTTAAGTACAATGTTACAGGCTCCAAACTTCGTTAGGTATTATTCTTTAATGAGTATTTTTTTAATTTAAAATAAATTATCTTTAATTTTTATACAGTTTTGGCCTTATAAGGAACTGCAAAAGCTTCGTAGAAAAAGAGATTTGGTTTATCAGGTTCTCATTGATAAACACAAATTTTCAATTCTGATTTACTCAGATCTTTTTAACCATAATCGAGTATAACCGCAATCATTTATACCAGGCTCAGTTTAATAAACATAATCCAGAATTCTGTAGGCTGTAACATGGTACACGGATAATTAAGGTAGCTTATTTGTCACAATATGCATTTTTAATATTCCTTAGGTGACCATTCAACATATTGGTCAATATCTCTTACATAAAATTCAAACAAATTCGTAATAGTCATATAAAATTTAACCTGACTTCGGATTTAGTGGGAGTTCTTTCATAATGATCATACATTCACTCCTACACATTAAGCGGAGAAGATGAGTGACATGAGCACCATTCGGGGTTCCGGGAAAACTGAAAAAATTAAACGATGCTGAGGATTAACGCAATCTACGCTTCACTCAGAGCAAGAGTACAAAGAGAATTAAATGCACACTCCTTAACATAATCTTATGTATTTAACAACAGCCCTGTCTTCTTCATCACGCTAAACATCAGACCAGAACATCCTCTTTGTTACATATCGTAGATGGACACTCATCGTCCGGATCTTCGCACAATTGTCGTAATCGGAATCTTTATGTCTACTAAGACTGTGCACACATTCCCGTTCTTCTCTTTCATTATTCACTAAATAACAGTCTCGAACATCATTCAAGGTGTGACAAATGCAGTATTTCGCTGTGGCGAATACACGTGGATAGAAACATCGCACCCGAATAGTTGCACAACATAACAGCCGATATTCTAAGTCTGGAATTTTTCTGTTCACTCATTAAATATCAGTCCATCATAGACGGGAACACAGCACAGAGATCGTCGTATCGGTAGCTGAGGCTTTACGTCTTTTTTAAAGACGTGAATTAACACTTTCACGTCCGTTTCATTCATTATACAATAAATGTCACTTTTGAAGGTACAGCAAACTATTTAATTCAGTTGATCGTTTGCAACTTAACAATAGTTATCAACCTCTTCTTAAACATAAGTATCAAAAGCGAAATTCCACTGCTCAGTCGATGTTTTAACCCTGCAAATTACTCAGTTTCTAACGACATATTTTATCTCTCTATCAAATCCACATTGCGTATTTTTCATCATTTCTTCTTCGTTTTGCCGAACTCCTTAGAACCTCTCAAATCTTTCTTTTATTCCTTTCGCTCCTCTATTTCTTCCAATTTCTATCAATATCCTCCTCTTCACCTTCTAACCTATTTATCACTTAAAATAATTTCTCACAAACCACACCTCACATCTTCTTACATTGATTGATGCCAGTCATTTAACTATTTTTTCCAAAACAATTGCATACCGCAGCAATTTAAATTACGCACCGAACTTTTCCTCATTTCCTCATTTCGCTGCATGAAAAAGAGATAATTTTTGGTAAAACCTTTTTTGGTACCAAGCTTTTGTAGACAGTATGTTTAGATCTCGTTTCCTCAACAGTCCAAGGGTAATTTAAACTATATAATGGCGCCTTGCTTAATAAAGAGAATATTCCAAAGTTACTGCTTATGTCACTTTCAGTCTTTATGGCTACGTCTGCAGTGTTTATGTTACGCTTAATTATCATTTTCCAAGATGCAATAATTAATGCCCTTTCTTTCCTCGGCTTTCTTTTCGTGCTCACCAGTCGCAGCGTTGTTAGAGTGCATTATGTATGTATTTTTGGCTGTGTGCCAATGCTAGGTTTACACTCAATCGGAATATAATGACTACTGTCGCTGACTGCCATACAGAATGACCCGCATTCGAATCCTGGCGAAGGATCCCTTAGAATGTTTGTAAGCCTATAATGACTGTGAGTCAAGGGTGCACTCAAAATATAGGCAAGCCAAAATCCTTTCGAGCGGCTAGTGAAAGGAAAGAGAGGTGGAGATCTTGCGATCGCACTTTGGAGTATTTTTCCTCAGAATTCCATCTCGAGCGGAAGTTTAGAAGTTAGAAAGACCTGGCGATAGCTACCTGGATATTCGCCCTTGCTTTAACCTGTACCTGCTCGTCCTTTCTTCGCTGCTCAAACGGTATAGCGGTATAGTGATTAGTGACGCTGACTGCCATATCAAACCGCCGGGGCTCTAATCTCGGAGAAGGCATGAATATTCGTAGGCGTTATAGTTTGTGCTATAAAAAGAGTGTACTAAAAATACAAATCTAGCCGAAATCCAGTCGAGAGGTTAGTGAAAGGCAAAGTGGAAGTCCTTCGGACCGACCACCGAGGTGTTCTTCCTTGTAATTCTAAAATTGGGTGGCAAGCTTAACAGTTGGCGAGGCCGGGCGATTAATAATATAACTATAGGAGTGCACAAGCATAAGCTTTGCTTCAAACTGTTCCTATACCTGTTATCTCTTTCATGTTCTCCCAATAAGCATTATATTACTATCCACTGTGCAGTGAATTTATGATATATCTAAATCTATAAGCACAATATAATGTATTAAAAACAAATGCATAATTTAAGTATATTCGCAGGTCGCATAAAATTGCTACCCGCAGCAATTTTAATTATCCTGCCGCCATTTTGAGACTGCTGCTATAATGTATGAAAACATTAATTCCTTGTATTAGGGCCGAAAAATGTGGTGAAAGAGACAAATGCAAAAATGCGCTATAATTAAGGTAGAAACGGTTATTGTACTAATGCAAATACATACGTTATGTAAAATAATATGTCAGAAGTCTATAACCACATAATTGTAAAAAAAAAAAAGAATTTAATATGTTCCTTAATGAATATGAATTTCTGTTAGTGGCTCAGTTTTCAATAAAAAAATTTTAAATAAATGAGAAACTTTTCGTCTGAGTAGAAATTATAAAACATCCATCGTATTTTAATCTTTTTAAATGTCTCGGCTTGTTAGTGCTTAAATTTGGATCCAATCTTGAGTAAACATTATCCGGTGTACAGATGTTTTGCTTTTCCATGAGTTTACAAAATTCTCTATATCCTTTAACTAGCATTTGGTTTATAACAGTTCAGTGAAAGACAAAAAAAAAAAAAATATGTATACATTGAAAACTAAGAAATTAGGAATGCATATTACAAATCGAAAAATGTTTCATTGTTCTGTAATCAAAAATGGTGGCAGTTATATTCACAGATATAAAAACTGTATATATTAAATTCATAAACTTGATTACGTATGTAATTGAAATTTATACGTGATTTTTTTAATCTTTAAATTACAAAAATGATGAACAAATTAAAATATATAATTACTAATTCACCAGTCATAACTCTGTATACTTCATTAATGGCAATTATTATTATTCCATGAATAAAAGCATGAAGATTTTATACAGAAGCAAAGAAGTGGTTATGCAGTTTATATTTAAGTTTTTGTAATAATTTCTTAAAATTCAAATGTTATATTTTTATTAAATTATACTGTTCGAAAACTGATTTGTGAAATGCAACTAAATCATACGTATGTGTTTTCCCTCACAAAAAATATTTACAACTATTTACACTTTCGGTAATGATAAATTAATCAATTAATCACTAGTTTTAATTTCATATTCTTAATTATAGCTTATCTTGCTTTGCATTGTATTATTACCATTTCTATTTCTACTCCATTGCATTGTGAATGTTTCTACACTAGACTTTTATTTAATTTTTAGTACACCAGTATCAAATTACAATATATCTCCAAACCCTGAACTATCTCAAGTCTTACGGATTTGAAGCTGCACAAGCAGAAATAACAGTTACAGGAAAATTAGGAAAGTTAAAAGGAAAATTATATCTAGGGTATGTTTCAGTTTTTCCTTTATATGTTCTATCATAATGTGTAAGATTCTGTACTGTGTACTTTTAAGTTACAGTTGAATGTGAAAAATCTTAAGAACTGGTAAGCGAATAATCGCTTGAGTTCGTGCTGAATAACGGCGAAGCTATCAAGGGCCTAAAGTTCGGCCGAGCGTAATAATAGCTTAAGAAAGAGTAGCCTAAAAAGGCGGACGCGTGCTAGCCAGAATCACTGGTTCTCTTTGACGAAGACAGTAGAACTTCGCGGTTAAATACTTCTCTTCAATTTGAATTCAAGCGCGAATCTAAAACTGTGTTCTGGGCGGAAGAAGTAAGTTGAAATTCAGGAAGACAGGAAAGGAACTTTAACTCAAAATTTAACTGTTAGGAAAATTAACATAATCCTTACAAATGCTCTAAATTTTCATGTCGCTTTATGTAATTAAATTCATATTTTCTTGCATATTCAGAAGAATGTTTTAAAGGTGAAACAATTATGTAATTTATTATATATGGAGTGATTATGCCAAATGATGTTTCTGAATGCTGTACTGGCTTTGCAATTCGGAAAAGGAGAAAGAATTTCACAAAATCGTCAGATGTGTTATATAGGCTCTTTGTTTTTAACATTCTTTGTGTTACGTTTAACTGAATCCATTGAATTTAAAATCGCTTGACTATTGCATATTCTGTGTTTCAGTTTTTAAGTTTGCTTGCTTTATGATTTAATAATTTTTTATGTGTTGACGAATAATACCTGGTGTCTTTTTTAGTATCCATCTTACTGAAACAAACCAAGTGAAGAAATTCCTAATGTCTTCAAGTCATCCAGTCGGCGAAATCCTGTCAGCTATTGTAGTTATATCCCAAACCCCAGTTTTGCACACGGAGGGACACTTCTCAAAGGGACATTATGAGAGTGTAACTGATACAGTAGTGGACAAAGTGAAGATAAATTATCTTTTCCCTTTGTTAGTATCATTTTAGTATTACTTATTTCTATCGCTTTACACTTTCTACACAATACTTTATTAAGAACTCAAAGTATTATGTATTTAATATTGATATCTTCTGTGCATAATTATTCTATGAATATTCTTATTTTGCCCATGAATCAAACATGAAAACCTCTTTTCACACTAGAAATGTCTCCGATTAATGTATAAGATGTTAATTATCTCATCGTCCAACGTTTTCCCTGTTAATTTTCTCATAATCCAAAGTTTTAACACTTTTCCACTTACTTATGTTACTGCCCTATGTTGGCAACAATTGTTGAATTATATATTACCCTTCAAAAATGAATTGTTTCTTTTCGCATATTGTAAATGCCTTGTAAGTGCGCTTTTATTTATAAATGGAGTTCCACAAATGTTATATTATCTCGCATGTAAACCTTCCGGTTCAATATATATTTCGTAATTTTATTACCTTGTGAGGTATTTATGTTAACTAACCAGTCATTTTATGTTACGAGCCTTTATTGTCACTTCGTTCTTTCCATTTTCCTGCCAGAATGCAAATTTTAGCTCCCGTGTATTTAAGAAAGCGTTTGAGGTTGTTTTATTCAGAGCTCATTCCGCCTGCTGAAGGCCACGTTAGTAGTTGATATTCTTCGATAGCGTTCCTGTCAACGGCGTTAATGGCAAGGGAAAGCAGGGTTGCCACATTTGGCGAGAAATCGCCTATTTGGCGATATACCATGGACGGATGGAGAACCTTCTGTAACGAATTCTTACCAGTTTAGGCCAGAATGTTCTCAAACACAAGCCGAAAGCTATACAAACCCTGCTGGCCCTCAGTCAGAGTGTGCCTCGTCTAGCGAGTTGACAGCCGAGCAGCGAGTTCTGAGTTGGTCGTCGAGTGCATCGAAGAGTCTCTTAGTGTATCGCGGTTAGTGCATCGTCGAGAGAGTGTGTTAAGCTCCGGAAACGACTGAACCGAAGAGTCGGGAGCTGTGCTCTGTGTGTCGTCGAGAACATCGCGAATTGTAGCGTGGAGAGTCTAGAGAGTACGTGGAGTTCCGAGAACGATCGAACCGAGTCGGGAGCTGTACTCTGGTGCTTTGCAGTGAAGCTGTTGTCTCTACCGTTATAGCCTGATAACCTGAAGGTTGTGTCGCTGATTGTTCCAGCGAGTGTATAGTAGATCTTCGACGAGTGTAAAACGTGTTTTGGAGCTGTCCTGACAATACTGACCGATAAAGTGTGTTTCGATATTCCATCAAGTGCTGTCGTCGTTATTCACTCCAAATCCACGCGAACCCTGTACGAACGTGAAGGAAGAAATAACACAACTGGTGTCAGGAAAGAAAAAAAACACAACAATATCCATGCGTAACCTTTGGCTAATTAAGACTTAGTTTTAATTTACAATTCTACTTTTCGAGTGCACTCCATAACTGTTGGCTGGTTTGTAAGCACCGGCAGTACCTTCTGTTCACCTAAATTGAGATGTTAATAAAATTATCCTTTACACAATTTTAGTACGTTATGTTTGCTTATCTAGACATAGCGAATAATCGCTTAGCTGTACATCGGAGCCTTGACATGGTGTATGCTACCAGAACAAGTGAGACCCTACCACCTTAATTCATATTGTGACGACAAGTATGCTCTTTACTGACTGTAAATGTGTAATATACGTATTTCTGCTAAGGGAGCAAATTAGTCGATTTGAAAAATAAGTTTGATGAATCCCCTTAAATTCATGGGAAATAAATTTATCTGCTTAAACAACTTTACCCTTATTGTACTGATGTGAATAAATTGAAACTTCTGGAAATTTCTATATGACAATAATATGGTTAGATAGCGTACTTTAATGTTTGAGCAACATTATTATTGCTGGGAATGAAAACCAAGTTAGGTTACCTATCGAACCGTACAGAGAACGTTTCAAACATGATTGGTACGACTAAATATCACTTTAACGATTGTAATTCAAGAAATTAATCAAGTAACATAAACGCCGTAATGATTTTAGTCGTGTAGTATCTTTTAATAAAATTTTCGAAATTCAATTTTTCTATGTTCATCGTAAGAAAATTCTATCAATAAGACAACTGCTTCTCATACACTTCCCATAATTAATCGAAAACTTTTATCCACTTACGATCAGGCCCACCAACGGCCGAGCGGTAAAGTCGCTGAACACTGGTAGTTCGGTCCGAGGTTCGAATCCCGCGAACGGGCTGGCTGCATGGGCGTTTTCGTGGTTTTCCCCATGTGTAACGTGTATACGAGCCAGTTTCCCTTAGAAAGTCCTCCACGAAGGCATCCTTCCTCTTAGGCAGATAGCCCTCGAGGCGTTTCCATAATCACACACACACCCACTTACGATCAAAATTAATCGATATATCATTACTTAAAAGCTTAACGGAAGAAATATAAGTGTTATAAAAGATATTTAAGCACATTTTATTTTCAAATGAATGTTTCTCAAATATAGACTTTTTGCTGGAAAAAGATTATATTTTCGCAGGATGCTATTTTTTAAATTATTTATTATATTAAATTAAATTTCGTTAGTTTATTATTTTTTCCCCTTGCAATGAAAGTAGTTTCAGTTATCTAATTTCAACAAATTTTTAATCCAGGTTTGATGGACCATGGACCTGTTTTTTCCTCCTTAAAGATCTTTCTAGGAGAATATTATTTATTAACTGAAATTTTCTAGTAAAAGGCGCGTACAGAAATTTCACTTTTGTATGTTTTTACTAAAATGTGATCCGTGATCAAAATCGTCATATTCAGGAAAAAACTGGTCCATAATATTCGAAATTTGTATTAAACATTTGTTGAAATTACTTTACTGAAACTATTTTCATCGCAAGGAAAAAATATTAACAAATTAACATAATTTAATTTCATTTGATTCAGTCCTTATACTTGAAAAATGAGTCTAAGTAATTTTTAACGCAATGTTTTTAAACACTTTGTACAAAAAGTTGAAAATGGCGAGTATGCTCGAAATATTAAAAATGACATGTCTTATAGAGCATATTATTTGTATATTATATTATTTGTTGTCCATAATGCCACATCAATAAATATCTCAAGGTTGCATTATAAAATTTAATTTATTTGAAGAAATTTGAGTCAAGATTTTTTTTTTCAAATTTCAGGCCAAAGGAATATACAACTTCCGTTCTCTGCAGGACTTCAGAGCATCCCCATAACAGTGCTGGAAGAAAGTTTGAGCTCTCGGCTGAATTTTGTTATTAGATTCACAACCATTGCAAGAACTGAAACTACTTGTTAAGCAACAAAGCAGGCTAGTGGTTAAACCATATTTATGGCCAGAATAATAGTTGTCTGCCTCTTACCAAAATGGATACATGTCGGTTAATTTAAATGTTTTTCTTTCATGAATGTAATGTGAACATGAACAAAAGAAAGTTGACTACTATGTAAAAACATGCATTATCTTCAAAAGAAGTGAACCATTATCCCAAGCAAACAAAAAATTGGGATATTAGTGATCATGGCTTTCCTGACGTAGAATATGTAGGTGCCATTTCCTCTAGAATGAAGTTAAGCCAATGGAATAAACTGAACACTGTAAGCTTGCTCTTACGAAACACTGCAAGCATATGTTTTACATGCATTAAATTATGGTTGCTGTTATATAAGCTTAGTTATATATAATATTTTAGACTAATCTTGTGTGCATTTTTAGTTCTTTGTCCAAAGTAAAAGAAGCACTGTAATCTCGAAAAATTTTGGGCATCACATTTCAACTAAAATATCCTTTTCGACCGCTCTCGAATCCATATGAACGTGTTTTTTTTTTTTTTTTTTTTTTTTTTTTTTTGCTTGACATCAGTACGTACAGATATGATAAAGGATTTTTTTTCTTTTCGAAACGGTTTGTAAGATGGGATCAAAATTGATTCAGAAGGAATTTTTTTTCGTGACATCTGTGCGTACGTACGTTCGTATCTTGCGTAACTCAAGAATGATTAGCCGTAGTACGCTGAAATTTTGTATTTGGGACTGCTGTAACTTCATTTGTGTACGTGCCTTTTTTATTGCAATCAGACACACCAAACTTGTATATATACATCCACCCTCTTACTCGGGTTGGTAAGCTCTGTTTATATATATATATATATATATATATATTGGTAAATTGTGCATTTTTTGCTTGAAAAGTGATTGAATTATGTTGTTCTTATGTTCTGGTTAAGGTTTTTATCTTTAGTTGATTTGCATGCGATAGTTGTAGAACTATCAACAATTTTAAAATGTAAGGGGCAGTAAACCTAATGTAACGGCTATTTGCTCACATTTGAAACGCTTAAAAGCATAGTAAATTCGGTATGTTGGTGCGCTAACTTCAATGTCCTTTTGCTCAGTGGGACTGAAAGTTAAATTTAAATTTTTGTGCACCGAAAATTTTTCTTGTCTCACCATTTGCTGAATTGTTTGTTTTTGTGTCGAAAATACAATTTGAATTACAAAACTTTTTAAAGTGTTTTTAACCATATTTGATATTTTAGTTCTTTTTTTCTGGGGGGTACTTACAGTTTTTAATGAAGATGTTTTGGGGTTTTACATATTTTTGTCTCGACGTTAAGTGAGAACTGAATTTATTGAATGAGATATTCATCTCAAATGAAATTTTAGGAAATAAGTGTAAATGAAACGCAACAGAATATTTGTATAATTTAATAGGCCATTCAAGGAAGTCGTGTGGTGTCTACATCAGATTTTTAAAAGATAAAATCATACAAAATAATTCATGCTTTTAAAATTGCAACTGTTTGTGACTAAGGTTATGTCCCATACGAACATGCAACCAGGAGTTGGATAGTCAAATTTGTTATTTAGTTTCTTTCAGAAGGGAAGCCTAGAAACAGCGTCGTGAATAATAAAAGCCAAAAGCACGATATTCCAGCGAGATATTTTATGTACTGGAATGATTTCTATTCTAAGGACATTAATGCTAAATTTTTCCCCTTTTAACTAACATTTAGCGTGAATCGGTTACAAAGGAACTGCGATGTATCTAATATATAGTTGTGTACAGTTCTAAATTGAGCTTGGAACGTCATTAAGCACGATGAGCTTTCAAAGAGCGTTAAATAAATACTGAGAATTCGATCCCAGGCGAATGGGCTGTTACATGATTGAGTTTGTGGTTTTCCCCACTGCTTAACGTGAATACGAGCAAGTTTCCCTTACAAATTTCTCAGTTGAGGCAGATAACCTTTGTGCGCCTTGCCATATTTCAACAAAATAACCTAACTGTTGTTCTGGAAATGTTGCATTCTAGGCATAACGCTCATCCATGCAGAAGTGAGGTGGTACTCTATCGTTTTGAGATCGCATATATGTTTTTAAGTATACTGAAACAGAATTCACTAGTTCTGACAAAACATTTTGTGAAATCACTCGATACGTTCTTCCATCAAGTTGCCCTTACAAAAGGTAATGACCAATTAAATAATCATAGGCATCTACAACTCAAGTATGCTTCAGAAATGCTAACTGGTACTATGTGGATACGTAGCGTATGGTATATGGATGTTTTCTGATATGAGATTCTGTGGTATGGGAATTACTGGTTACCCTCACATGAGAATTTTAGTAATTAATAATTTCCTCACGGGCATTTTGACGCAGATCTAGGCATATGCATCAAACTCTGGCTGCGCTGCAATCTGCTAAAACAGCCAGCAGGCAGAATCGATAGGAAGCTGATAATATGCATGTGTCAAGGCTTTCCCCTTTGTGCCTCAGAAGGATGTAATTGTTCGTCACATAATTAACCCGCATCGTATATTGGGCACACTTACAAAATAGGAGATTTCTTGAGTGCTATGTTGGGGACGATCTCCAATCCTACGCAAAGTATTCTCTGTAAAATGGGATTTCTCTGACGACTTGAACGCCTTACGGACTGCTATAACCTGATAAAAAAGTGAAAAGTGGAAAGTTCTCCATTGTTGTCACTAAGGCTTCCTTTGCAATTCCGTTTCTAGTTCGATCCATGCAGTATTTACTCACCTTCTCTTGATTCGTAAAATAACACATCATCAGACCAGAGACTGCATGTTTTCACTTGAAAGTACCCTCTATGATCTCACCGCTTCAGTTATGCTCATGTGTTATTAGTACGATGAAATGTGTTTTTAGGTGTTTTCTATCACCCCTTAAAATTTTGCATTACCCCGTAAAGCTCAGAGTTCTCAAAGCTGAAGTATCTCTACTGAGAGTTCCTAGAAGGACAAACTAGAGCCAAATGCCTCAAACTTGACATGTATGCAGTTCAGGCAATGGAAAAAGAAGACGTTTAACAACAGCAATAGTTCAAAACTGTTGCGAAAATATCACTTGCATTATTGAGCTATTAAATTCTAATTTATAACTTGTATCATTATCAGTTCAGAAACAGGCTGATTCATTTATTTCTTTCGTTTCATCAATCCACCCCCTGACAACGATGCTGTGAAGGAAACAAATAACTTTTCTTCTTTTATTGAGTAAATAAGTAAGCAATAATCGCAGACTAAGACATAGTAAGCAATATAATGAGCTATAGTAAGCAATATAGTGTATTTATGCTGTACCAACAAAGTATGCAAAACGTTTCAAATAACTTCGAAAGATGTCAGAAGCACTGGCAAATATATTTGTTGCCAATACATTTGGATAATGCTTAATTCTAAACAACAGCATTATCGACTTAACATTTTTCAAGACTTCTTAGTCTTAAATTCCTAATATGTCTACATCTATCAGCCAAACTATAAAATGTTAAATGAAAGTTCGTCTCCAACTTGGATTTCACAACTAAGGGTCATTTTGCAGTTGCCTTTTATTGATATAGGGAATTAAAGAAAACGGTTAATACACTGACCGGGTTATTCAAAGAATCCTTATTCCACTTCGAGCAGCCCACAATGACAATTTCAGAATTTTCTTCGCTTAAACTCTTACCATTTAGCATCATATTAAACAATATTAGATAACATATGGGTTCTAACAGGCAATAATTTACTTTGTAAAACCAGTATCTAAACTTCTAATATTATATACAAACAGCATAGTATTACAGATATTTTTATGATCCTCTTCGTTAAATACATTTATTTTTCTCTAGCTCATTTTGTTGTAAGGTGTAGAACACATTTGACATCTAAAGTGTATATATATATATGTAACTTATTGTTTATGTGTTTACAGATATAATTTCTAGTCAACAGACAAGCTATATTTTGCGGAAAGCAAAATTTATACACCATCTTGCAGCTGATTGGGATGTTTATCTTTTAAACCGCTGTATAATTAAACGTCGCTTATAAATATAATTGCAATGTTTACATGCTTCAGGTATCTTACGCATTTACTTTAAAAATGCATAATTCCAGTCAATGACTTGAGGATAACTTTTACGAATATTCATTTTTGATTTAACCATTCCAGTTCAACAGTTTGTTATTAGTTAGAAGTGAATTTAAAGGTTTGAATATCCAAACAATATTTCCGTTTCTTTCATCTCTAGACGTTTATTCAAGTATATATGTTATGTTATTTTCAAATTATTTTGCCCGAACACTTACAAAATGCTTCATTAAAATCGAATAAAAAGGAACAAAATTCAAAAGAAGTTGTTACATGTTCTAAATTTTTCAATTTTTCTAAATTTCTCATTTTCATTCTAAATTTGCTTTATTGTAAGTGATATTTCTCCAACTTAGTATACTTCTATATGTAACATATTTTATTTATTCTTACTGTACAGTATGCCAAATTATCTGTATTATTAAACTTTGTATGAAAGTTTTACTTCATATTTATTGTGATAACTATTTTGGTACGAATTTAGTTTACATAGAAATATATGTATACACATTTTTTAATAATTAAAGCAATTTTTTGTCTTTGTTTCAATGAGTCTTCAGAAATGCATTCTTCAGAAAGTTATTCGATTCAAAGAAATAATTTTATGTATTTTAACATAATTTTTATGCTACATTTTTAATATCTCATTAGGAGCAACCGGGAACAATTTTTAGTATTTCCATAAATGTTCCTTAATATATTCAAATAAAAATATTAATATTTTTCATAAAGACTATTGGAATTGGATTATTATTTAAGTTTATTTGAGAAGCTATATGTAATACAAAATAGAACAAAATAAAAGAAATATTTATTTTCTAACCCTTGCGGTTTTGAATATGCAGGAATCCCGATTTGGATAAAGAGTATTTTCACCTAAAATGGAATATCTAGAAAAAAAAATGCCCCTCTAATTAATGGTTTAGGGCAGTAAAGTGTTGCTTAAAATAACGGCTTACATATTCCATGTAAATGCAATCGAATGAACAGACAATTGCTGAAATATAATATCAATTAAAATACAAATGAATATTTAAATAACTTGGGTTACGTGTGATTCTCGAAATTAATTTTAAAACCATTTGAATAACAAAGAATCAATTGATTGTTAAAAAGTGATATAAAAATCTCACAGACTACCAAATCAAACCAAGCATGCTCTTCTTCAAGTATCAATTCTTTTATATCTTTAATCACGAAAAGAATCTTACGTGGTACTATAATTAGCTAAACTTATACCTATGAGACACCGGTGTTGAAGTAAGACACTTAAGATTGGCAACGATGTGAGTTTTCATTAAATTTTTGTATTCTTAAGTGACATGTTGTTAAGAAGTTTCGAGACTAAATAATTAATTTAAATAATTGCTGATAAAATATTTATAAATATACTTGAAATAGATCACGTTTCTTGTCAAATCTAATGTTTTAGTGATCCGAACTGAAGTCTGAAAGCTTAGGTTTTACATTTTCAAGTTGTCAACTGTTTACTTCAAACTAAGAGCATTGTTAATAATAATGAAAGTTCTTATAAATAAGCGATCACCAATGCGACCATCATTTACCAAATTCCTTTTTTAAACCTTTAGAATTCTCTTCGCTTTTGGAAAAAAAACACTGTTAAATTAGAAGAAATCAAGAGTACATTTTCTTCTTTAAAAACGTTATATTCTAATTTAATAAAAATAGTTCATGAAATATTAAAATTTCTGTTAAAAGATGAAAAAGAAACTCAACAGTATGATGTCGAATTAGAAGTTGTAGAGGTATACAAGTAAAAGTGTGACGACGTACTAATTCAGTTAAAATCTTTAAATGACAATTTTGTTTTGCTACAGACTTCCGTTACATTAAACTCTGAAAAGCCTATGTGGAAACCTGCCAAGGTAGAACTTATGAAATCTGGAAGGGAATTTAAAGACTAGTTTTACTTTTGGAGCCAATTTAGAAGAATCTATGAAGATAATAAAATGGAGTTAGTAGATAAATTTCAGTATCTGATCCAAGGCGCTCTTCCGATCCTAGGGCAAAAGAAATAATATTTAGTTTTCCACCAATGACCGAAATTATATGAAAATAGTCGAAAGCTTGAAACCAACATTTGGACAGGAGTACCTCACCAGAGAATTTT